CTGACCATTCATGTCGGTATTATCATATTTTTGTTAGAAATATCTGACCATTCATGTCAGTGATATTTTCTGATTTCTGACCATTCATGTCAGTATTATTATTATTTTTGTTTTCATTCTGATCTTTGTATAAGGTGAAACATGGCTTTAAATGAGCCCTATAACTTAAATTGTTTTTAATTTTTGTTTATTATCAATCAATGTGCTTTGTTTACTGTTTGGCCGTTGGTTTTTTGGTGCTGAACATTGATTGAATTAACTTTAACGTCTATTATTGTTTTTTCATATGAAATTGTAATAATTTGCCAAAATTAAATGTTTTATTTTAATTCGCTTTATCATTTCTTAGCATTTAATTAGTATTGCTTTGCATCCAGTCGTCTCATGGTTTATATATCTGCGTCTATTTACTTCGTAAGAGCAAATTGTGCTATTTTTAATTAATTAAAAATATATAATTGGCGACTGGAGATTAAAGAAATAGACTTTATACTGTTCGAATTATTTCGGTTCTTTGCTTTTAGCTAATGATACAACTTGTTATGAATTTTATAACACAACAATGCATTTTGATTGGTTCGTTTATAGACTTGTGATTTAAAAGAATTAAAGTTTTTCATTCTGCCGTTGATAGGCGAAAATAACCCTCCCATTATTTATCCCACCCAATATTTATGATCAGTAGTTTCATTCTCATTTTCTGTGGAAGTTTTATTTTTCAGCGTATGTTCCTTGCTGATTTGTTACTGTGGATAGACGAATTTACAATGTAATTGAGTGATTAAAGGACGATCGAGCAACTTAGTTTATACCTGATAATTTGGATTCGGATTAATTCGCAATGGATTCAGACATTTCAGATTTATTGTTACCCGCTGGATATAGACGTGTGAGCAAAGTGTTGTTGATAAATGGTGCTGAACGTTGATTGAATTAACTTTAACGTCTATTATTGTTTTTTCATATGAAATTGTAATAATTTGCCAAAATTAAATGTTTTATTTTAATTCGCTTTATCATTTCTTAGCATTTAAAATTAGTATTGCTTTGCATCCAGTCGTCTCATGGTTTATATATCTGCGTCTATTTACTTCGTAAGAGCAAATTGAACTTATCAAGGAGAAATTATAAGCACCCCCCCCCCATAAAAAATTGCACCCCCTGGAAAAAAAATCAAGTCATCCCATTGTAGTCTTACAATAGTTACTGAAGACCCCTTATCATTTATTTACTTAAATTAGTTTTCAAATTGTGACCATTTGAAATTGTTTTTTTACATTTTCCTCTTAGACTTCTATAGTAAACCCCTATCTATGTTCTATTTTTACCAATGGGGACCATCTTGGTTGTACGGCAGGGTCATCGAATATATTTTTCAATCAAGATACTCTTGTAGTAATCGTGGCTAAGTTTAATTCCATTTGGCCAAGTAAATTAAGAGGAGAGGATTTGTGTAAAAGATTAAAATCAATTATGAAAAATAGTGAAAAATTGACTTTAAAGGACAATTACTCATTAAGGACGGACAATTATAATAAAATTGAGAATGGAAATGGGGAATGTGTCAAAGAGACAACAACCCGATCAAAGAGCAGAAAACAGCCGAAGTCCATACATGTGCTAATAATGCATGTGAGAGTATAAATCAGGTCGATGAAAAAGACAAACCCATCTTGGACACTCAAATGCAAAACTATTTTATGTGTCCCAAAATGTGACATGGAGGAAAATGATCAGATGTTACAATGCAGTACTTACACAAATTGGATCCATTTTAATTGTTCAAACTTACCAAAGTACATGCTTTACACTTTAACTTCTTCTAAAAGAAAATTCACATGTCCTACATATATTCAGCTACCAGAAACTTTTGTGATTTATTCACCCATGTGTGAAGGGAATGAAACTTCTATTAACGCAGATTCATATAATCAAGAGAAAACTCATCCTGCAGTATAGATGCAGTACTTAATAGATTTCAAGAAACCTTAACTGCATCATTTAATACCTTCTTCAAAGATAGACAAGAATGTAAATGTAAGTGTCAAACAGTTATAACTGAAATTAACAATATAAAACAGTATATGTCAACACTCAGTAACACACAATATAAAACAGTATATGTCAACACTCAGTAACACACAATATAAAACAGTACATGTCAAGACTCAGTTACAAACAAGACGAATTACTAACCTCAAGTCAAAACTGCTGAAGTTAGTAATGAGATTGATACATTTAAAAGTGAATTAAAACAGAGCAACCCTACACAATTAATTCCGAGGGATTCAGAACAACTGAACGTAATTATGTCCACAATCCGTAATGATCAACAATCTTTATCCAAAACAGAGCAGGAGACAACCATGAAAGCAAATATGGCGAGGACAAAACTAGAAGAGATAAACATCTCTGGGGTAGAAACAGTAACAAAATGTTTAAAACAAGTTAATCTAATCCACGACCAAATGAGCAGGACAAATAAAGAAATTACATACAACTGTACAGTTTCAAACCGTTTTGATGGGCTTTCCCAAGATTCATTTGAACCTTCCAAAAAGGAACCAAAGCCTTTCAAAAATTAAATTGGTAACTCTCATTTTAACAATATTAGAGTGTCAAATTTTATCACAGGTTGTTATGTATATAAACATATTTGTTATAATATAGATGATGTCCATAAGTATCTTAGCAATGTTGCTGAAAAAGATCTAGAAGTGCATTGTTATTCATTTATTCACAAATCATTTGAACAAATTTTCACCAATAGAAGTTAGAGATAAATTTGAACATCTTTAAAGTATACATAATAGATGGTAAAAAGCTTAAATAATAATATCCACAAGTATATTAATAGGTAACTCAGACGAGTTCAACACACAATTGCTTGAGTTTAACATAAGGTTATTACACACGTATCTAAACCATGACTATGTTACAGTTTGTAACAACATCATACTTGGCATCAATGGTAACCCAAACTATAGGTTTTTAGTAAAGGATAATATAAAAATAAGAAGATGTGGTATGATTGCCAATGAAACAACTCTCCACAAGAGACCAACTGACACAGAAATTAATAACTATAAGTCAACTTACGGCCTTCAATAATGAGCAAAGTCCATACCGCATAGTCAGCTATTAAAGACCCCGAAATGACAAATGTAGAATAATTCAAACGAGAAAACTAACGGCGTAATTTATCTACAAAATAATGAACGAAAGCAAATAAATTACAAAGCAACAAACGACAACCACTGAATTACAGGCTCCTGACTTGGGACAGGCCCTTACAGAGTGGGACGGAGTTAAACTAGTTTGAAGGCGCCAACCCTCCCCTAACCTGGGACAACTTAAGAACAAACTATAAAAATGTTCATTTGAACACTACAGGCTTAAAAGTATTTGCAAGCAATTTAAAGCGAAGCATTAGAACAGCACTAAACATTTCAGATACAAAATGTCTGAACAAAGTGAGCACAGAGAACATTGGAATCAGAATTATGATTATTATAGTAATAAAAGACAAAATAGGTACATTTATGATAATGAGCATAGCCAACATGGCCAAAGAGACCATAGGAAGACTAACAGTGTTCGTAAAAACAAACAAAATTATGAAAATAGGTATGATTCTGGTCAAAAGTACAATAATGATGATAGATATAGTCATGGCCAATCTAGATTCAGGTACAATATGAATAATAACGAACAAAGGATTTTTCTTAGAGTTCGGTATTTTTGTTATTTTACCTTTTAGATCTAACATAACCTCCTTGGTATAACCCAATGACAAACGCGGCAACTATATCAATCCCTTTAAACTGTTACACGAATGCTCAGCAGCTGGAGACCGAATCCTCGGTTTCAGATTGTCAGAGTTTGCCTCCTGCCAGAACCGTCTTCCCTCTCACATTCCGTAGGTAGGAAATTTGTATCGTTTGCAATGACTGTCGAAAAAAGGGAAGCATTTGTATTGTAGCTGTCTTCTACTTGATTTTGGTATTAAAGAAATCCTTTATTGGCTTCAATAGGCATTTGCTTGTTGAAAAGGGGGGGGGGTCAACAATTTGCCTGTCCGGAAAGTGTTTGAAAAAAAGCATAAAAATGTACAGGCCTCTACAATAACTTTTTTTCCAACTTGTCCAGTAGGACAAGTACATACCAAAAATTACTTGTCCGAATGAAATAGTAACTTGTCCAACAAAAATCTTAATAATAACTTTTTTTTGCATTTTAAGTTGATTCAAGGAACAAAGTGAATTAAAACAATAGAACAGAATTTGATTTATATCTTTTGAAATACCTTTTAAAAATATGAGTCGAGAACAACTGAATCTAGTCATGTCACAGGACTTAGGTTCTAGTTTTCGTCAATGCCAAAGTCTCATCAGACTTTACACATGAGGCACCGTCTGGTAGGCTTGTCAATTTCAACTCATTGGATTTGTATCCTGGTTTTTTAAGTTGAAAAAAGTTTATTCAAATTCAATCAATAAAAAAAAAGAAGATGAGGTATGATTGCCAATGAGGCAACTCTCTGCAAGAGACCAAATGACACAGAAATTAATAACTATTGGTCACCGTATTGCAAGTATTGTTTTTTTCTTCTATATATGATCAAATATGATTTGGGAATTTTATGGTAAATAATTTCTTCATTTTTATTTAAAAAATATTTTTGTTAAAAAAATTACGGTATGCATGGTATTTATTATAAAGCAACAGAATAAGGTAGGAAAACGAGGTACTGATTTGTCTTGGTCCCGAAATGTCTCCTGTCTCCTGCGTTCCTAAACTGTCTATTAATCATGTCTATTAGATATGTCTCCTACGGTGCCAAACTGTCTATTAAACTTGGAGCCAAATCGTTTCCGAGCTGGTGACGAACTGTCTTGTAAAGTTACCCTTTACAAAGCGCATCGCTGATTCGGATCAGCAAGACTGGTTTCCGAGAATAGTATGCCTTTTACCTGTTAAAAAGTACCTGACAAAGAACCAGTATAAATTATCGATTTCAAGTAAACATGTCAAATTAATACTTGTGTTTATCTTCTTTTCTTGTGTTTTGTTTATAATTACTTTGTTCATCAAAGTTGGATTAAATTTATTTTCTGCATAATTATTTAACTTGTCCCGTCGGACAAGCTTGATATAGTCCGACCTTTTTTTCCTCTGGTACCGGACAATCGGACAAGCGTTATTGTCGAGCCCTGATGTATCAGAAAGTATTATGTGGATATACATAGTCTGAAAAGTGCATTGCCTGTTTGAGGCCTGTTTCTACTGTCAAGCAGTGAGCCAGGATCCCAGGCTACTTAAATAGACGATACTTTCACCTTATGGTACACGAAACATTTCAATGTCATGGATAGATTAAATTATTCCGATAAATGAAAGATAACAAACTTGTATAAACAAAGTACACACTTTCACAGACTTTTAACAGCATGTCTATGTCAACTTCAGGTAAGAAATTTGTATGTTATATCAAACTTACACTTCGTGAATATTATTGAATTGTCTGTTCTCGATATTATGCACTCAAGAAGTGCAGTTACTCTTTGAACCCAATCTGTAGACTGGATATGCTTTAACCGGCATGTGTGCTTAAGGGAAAGGGCTTAAGAAGTTAGTAAATATTGCCTTTTGAAGTTTGAACTCGTTCTTTCCTTATTGCAACTTTAACAAAGAAGAAATAGTTAATTAAATCAAGATGCTTCAATGAAAACATTAAGATACAAAAGTGTAAAATAATGCGACAATACACGAAATTGGAATCATACTTTCGATTAACACAGTTATAAGTTGTAAATAAATCCATTGAATCTATTCGATGTGAACAAAAAGACATATATAATTACGTAATGTAGCTGTTCAATTAGGCAGACAATACCAAAAATTTGACCTTAGCTAAAAAATTCCTTAAATCCTTACCATAAAATATAAGATATATACAAAGAAAACAATCATTCCAGTGTTCTCAGTAAGACACAGATGTCAGAACAAGTCTGCACTTAAAGTTTGCTGCATAATAGACAGCATCATTGATCTCAGCATGAATAAAGAGTTATTGTGTATTGGAAGAAACTGTTAGTACGAATTTTATTTTGGGGCGGTAAAAATTTTAGAGTCGCAGTTTGCTTGCTTTGGAATAATATATACTGACTGACCTTAAAAACGCAACACTCATTTTGATTTTCTTTACCAAATCAAGTTTGATCCTCATACAACTACTATTCAAGCTTACCATACTTCTTTATCTTTAGAAAAAATCAACATCTGACTTACCTGCGGTTATTGAACATACCGAATTATTGAAGTCGCACGAATTTCTGAAAGCGAAATATGGAACCCATAAAAGATTTTTTCATTTTTTTTTTCTTTGTGAAACAGTTCTTTCAATCCTTGGCCACACTTAATCAGTTACAAAATGTTGTATCTCTATATTGCCAAGACTGAGGAATAAAAAAACAGAATCAGCCAATAAAAATACTGCAAACAGGAAAACGTTAACGTGCTGCAACCAGACAATTTGACGTCAGAAACTCGTCATCATATGCAACTATTCCAGTCATAATTACGTTCGATAACTCTGCATGTTACTGGTTTAATTAGGATTATGTAAAATTTACTAGTTACCCGATGAATGGTTTAAAGAAAATTGAAAAATATAGTTATTTCACCTCGGTTAATATCCATTCGAGGTCTTCTTTTATAAATATAGAATAATATCGTAATGAATTTCATTGAGAATCTGACAACACTAATCAACATAGGTATTGTCAAAACATACATCTACATAGGTATTGTCAAAACTTACATCGTGATTAGGTGCCATGTTTGTTTTCTTTGATTACGTTGATGTTATGACTTAATATCTCCTTAGTCTAGCTATGTCCTTGGCTATCATTATAGTGACAATAACGTGTCATATTTAATTGCAATATAAACAGTGAAATTAAATTGAATTATTTGCATGGACAAAATAAGTGTCGAACATCGTCTACGTTTGAAAATTATTTGGTCGCCATTTTTTAAAATTTTTATAAAAAAACAACAGCATGTATCAGCTTTATCAAAAGGAACCAATGTTTGATTCTATGCTGCTTTAAGGTAAGACAATAACTGAAAACGCGAGCATCCAACAGTTATTTGATTTTTTGTAGAGGTTCACATACCGCCTTTAACAGTTCAAGTATCGTATACAATATGTAAAGCTCAAAAACTTGACCAGAGTCTTTTAAGTTGTGAAGAGACTGTTTCTTAAAAATTGAATAGCTGTCAACAGAAAATCATGATTTCTTTAACTTTATGTCAATATGAAACTTTTTATTGTTTATATGATAGTTTTTACTGGTTGATGTGAGAGTAACATACTAGCACTAGGTCCTCACCGTTTGGTTTCTATCACAGGAATAACTAGATTTACTCAGAACTGCAATACAAAATGATTGTTTTACTCTTTTTTCAAATATATTACCTAAAGAAAGAACTAGTATTGATTAAATTATGAAAAACATTACTTAGCTTTTTATCATATTAATTCACAAGTAGCTTCATGTATTAAGGAATACGAAACCCATATATCTATTTTACTATGAATTATAGATTTTATTCAGAGATTAAAGAATGGAGAAAACATACTCATCGCAGAAGGTTACCTTTTTGAATTCGGTCGTAGAGGCTACCTGAAATATGGTGCTAATACACCGGAAGTAGTCGTTGAACATCCAGAACTGGTTGAAGTGATGCACGAGGAGTTTGTTCATGCAGGCTCAGATGTTGTTGAAGCTTTCACTGTAGGTTCTGACATTTTGTTTTCTTTTTTCTACATCTCATATCTTTTCAATGTGAAACCTACAAAAACCATTGTGAATGACTCATACATCACATGTTGTATAATCTTATATTCTATTCTGTATGCTATAGTGTGAGCAATTTCCAACTGTCATCAAGCTGTCAAAGAGAGGCGGCAGATACCAAAGTACCAAAGGGATAGTCAAACTCATCAGTAGAAAACAAACTGACAATGTAATGGCAAAATAACGACGAAAACACAAACAACAGTATAAAAAGCACAACACAGAAAACAAAAGACTGAGCAACACGAACCCCACCAAAAACCAAAAACCAAAATTGGAGGCAGTTAAGGTTCATCATAACAAATGGACAAATATGGCCGTATTTTCACCTCAAAAACTACCCTCTGTATAGACTTACCTGTGCAGTTTGGAAAGTTTTAAGGCCTGGCATCCACTAGATATACAAAAGTTAAATTGATTTTGCATATCAGAAAGATAAAATCGTTTTTGGATTTTGATGGGCATTTTCTTTCCTTCCTGCAGAATGTGTTAAAATAAACAAACTCCTGAATTGCATTTGATACTGTCCACTCAGTTTCTACCTTTAACTCACCTATAGATGTGTAGATATCTATTGTCCATGCCAATCAAGGACAATCAATACAATACAAACCAGTTGTTACCTGAGAGAGAGCATCTCAAAGTTGTATCCCAACTTAGTTAGTTTTTACACCTTCTGCAGGAACGAAAAAAAATGCCCATCATAATCTAAAAAAGATTTTATCTTTCTGATATGCAAAATGAAATTAACTTTTATATATCTAGTGGATGCCAGGCCTTAAAACTTTCCAAACTGCACAGGTAAGTCTGTACACAGAGTAGTTTTTGAGGTGAAAATACGGCCATATTTGGCCATTTGTTATGATGAACCTTAATACAATTTGAAATATCGGTACTGGTTTGCTATTTTAATTTGGCCATGATTTTCGCTAGTGTAACACAATGTTTGGCACTTCTATTCAATGCATACAAACTACGCAGACATGCATTATATTAGTATGGATATTTTAAGTCTAGTACTTTATAATGTGCCAAAATTTAAAAAGGAAAGAATTATAAAGGCAACAGTAGTATACCGCTGTTCGAAACTCATAAATCGATAGAGATAAAAACAAATCCGGGTTACAAACTAAAACTGAGGGAAACGCATCAAATATAAGAGGAGAACAACGACACAACAAAAACACAACATTAAAATGTAACACACACAGAAACGAACTATAATATAACAATGGCCATTTTCCTGACTTGGTACAGGACATTTTAAGAAAAAAATGGTGGGTTGAACCTGGTTTTGTGGCATGCCAAACCTCCCGCTTTTATGGCAATGTAAATATAACATTAAAATGACAACATTACATGACATGATTACAATACAAATAAATGGGAGAACATATAGGACAAAGAAACACACGAATAATAGCTAACAAAAGGCACCAGGTTTAAAATCCAATACGCCAGACGTCTCGTCCACACAAGACTAACCAGTGACGCTCAGATGAAAAAAGTTTGAAAGCCAAAACAAGTACAAAGCTGAAGAACACCGAGGACCAAAACTTCCAAAAAGTTGCGCCCAACACGGCCAGGGTTTTCTGCCTGGGACAAGAACATCCTTATTATTTAAAATAATTTATAATTTTGCAAACAGTAAATTTTATAAAATGACTATATAATAGATATACATGATAAAACCGAAGTGGGGACTAACTACAGAATAAAAACGGATACATTACATAAAACAACTTAATCAAACACATAAAAATACACAGCCGAGTTAGCCAAAGCCTCAAAGCACAAAGTGACGTCACATTTGAAACTCTAAAAAAACACACAAAGTGACGTCACATTTGAATTTGTAAAAATATTTCCCAAAAATAAGATAGGATTAGGATTGATTCAAGATTAGATTTGTAATACTGACCTTACATTTATTAATAACAATGAAAATTACAATACTTATTAATATCAAATTGTGGTAGTAATTAGATAATTAATTGTATTATCTAGCTATGTCGGTGTTTCTTCTGAATCAAACTGTAAACCAAATATATCGTATAAATTTCGTTGAACCAAACTAAAATCTAATAAATGAAGGGGGTGGTTAATTATCTTTACCATAACACACGAATATAACAGAAAAGACGTTAAGACATTAATTGACAAAATCCGACGAGAATAACAAATATAACATCAAAATTAAATACATGAATTTGGGATAGAAAAGTACCGTGACACGTCTTATAGCAATGCGGTTTCACACTCAGCAAAACAGTCACAATCGGGAATAAGTCATGTTCGGTAATTAAAAGATCAGACGCCGTAATGACAAACCACAATCTAACACGTGGTAAAAATGTCCTTAGTTAGTTTGGACAAAGACACATCGTATGGATCAACCAATTCGTGATGGTGTCCGTAAAATTTACGGAGTGTCATTTTTAATCTGTCCTCCTCATAACTTTGTTGGAGCAGTTTCTGCGTAAGGAGCACACTCCTGTATATGAAGTCCGTATAGTGTGAACAATCACGAGAATAACATATCAATTGAGATATGTAAACACCATACGAAGGGGCAGACGGTATGTTACTGCTGAGAAATGGGAAATTGATAATTGGGAAGTTGAAATCGTCCCGTTTATCATAGATTTTCGTGTGAAGTCGTCCATCTGTGTCAATATTGAGGAAAAGATCAAGGTATGAAGCAGTCCTTCTAGTATCAGTAGTATCCTTAATTTCAAGTTCACTGGGATATATGAAATGTAAGTATTGGCTGAAATATGGGTTATTCAATGATAGAACATCATCAATATATCGGAAAGTAAAATTAAAGAATTTCGCAATTAAAGAATTAGCTATTCGTGTCCCGTGATATAACACAACAGATACTTTGTTTTCCATAAAATATTACACACCTGCGACACTTTTCACAAAAAATCTTAAGAGTAAAAACACTCGTAAGTCATACATATTTCAGTATAACTTACGATCAATTCTAATCGTAACATTTTTTATGAAAAGAGTCGCTGACACTTAGTTTTCGATTTAATATTAATATTATGACACCTTTTTGCATGACACTTTATTATCGATTAAATATTACACATCGGACACTTCATTTTCGATAAAATATTTCACACCTGACACTTTATTTTTAATTAAATATAACCACCCCTGACTATTCATGTCCCGTGACATATAACACACAATATACTTAATTTTCAATAAAATATTACACACCTGTCAATTCTTTTCCGATTAAATATTACACACCTGACATTTTATTTTAGATTAGATATTACACAACTGACACTTCATTTTCCATCAAGACACTTCATTTTCGATTTAATACAACACACCTGACTATTTATGTCCCTTGATATATAACACACCAAACAACCATGTTCCATAAAATATGGCAAAATTGACACTAAATCTAAATGTTCCACAATAAAATATCTCTCACTTGTCATTTCATGTTCATATGAAAAATAGTTATATAAAATATTACATTTCGGTCACTTCTTGTTCCATAAAATATAACACACCTGCCACTTCTTGTTGTTTAGAATATTACAAACCAGACACTCCAGATTCCTTAAAATATTACCACCTAACAACATATTCCATTAAACATTACATTTCGGCTGACACTTCATGTACCATAAAATATAACATTTCGGCTGACACTTCATGTTCCATAAAATATAACACACTTGACACTTCATGTTCCATAAAATATCACCTGACACTTCATATTCCACAAAGAATGAAACACCTGACACTTAATGTTCCATAAAGTATTACACACCTGACACTTCATGTTCGATGAAATATAACACACCTGATATTTCATGTTGCATGAAATATTGCAAAACGTGTTTTCTGCCATTTCTTATTTAGCATTTAAACAATAGCATACGATAAATCGTAAACATGATGTGATATTTGATTTGATTAAACTATACAACTTATTATTTTGTTGTGATGCCATAACATACCAGAGAAACTTACTTTTCTTACTTTTAAATTATCTCACATACGCCCTTCTTAATCATAATAAGCACACAATGCACAATGTGAGCACTTTTTATTTACTACATAAGATGGCATTATGGAATCAAACAAAATAATATTCTTAATATTGAAAACAGTATTATGGTCACAGAGAAAAACTAAAGATAATAGGAAGAGAAGATGACTTGGAAAAGCTTAATAAAACTGCCCTACGGATAGCTAAGAAAGTAGCCAGAAAACACAACAAGCTATTTGCCTTTGGATTGTGTAATTCTACTGTGTTTGCACCGGGAGATGAAAAAGCTAATGCTAAAGTGAGAGATATGTTTAAGGTAAATAGATCTGCTTATGTTTATATTAGTCATTTAAAAACCGGTGACCCTTTTAAGTGATATTAACATCAATTGATGTAAAAAGATAACAACCGAAAATTGTAAATTAATTTAGATGTATATACATACTCTCGGTCATAAATACGCACAAGTATTATACGTATTTATTTGAAAAGCAATATACAAGCTAAAGTAAAATAAAAATTGCTGAACTGGACTTTTGAGCAATGGCGGCTTCCAGTTGTTCTCGAACAATTTAAAATTTAAGAAAATGGGTATTGGTTAATGAAGTAAATTTTTGTCGTTAATTTGAATTAATTAAGTTGTCTGACAGAATTTAAAATTCATAAATGTATCCGTGACGGAACAGAAATTGCAAAATCCAACCTTTTTCTTTTATTAAAACATTTATATGTTTATATGGTTTTTGTTTTGTTTTCAATTTTCTATTTTTTTCCGTAGCGAAACAACACTAAAGTAGGACCAACTGTATCCTTGCCTGTAAAAACCTTATGGAAAGAAATGTTTTGATTGATTTAATATACATGAGCTTAATTTATGAATTTCATTGATTGATCACTAACTTTGCAATTCAATTGTTACCATAGTACATGCATAAAAATCATTGAATACACCATGCTTGTTCCACTTGCTGTGTGTAAACAGGGATACAGTTTGTCATACCAAGGTGTTATTTCCCTTTGAAAAAAAAAGAATTTAAGATATGAAACAAAGTCTGTAACTGGCAAATGGACTGTTAACCCAAAAGAGGAATGAAGAAAAAGGTTCAATAAACGTCAATGAAATTTATAAAAAAAAAACACACAAAGACAAACAAATCAGAAAAGATAACTAGTGGTCATGGTCGCAGTGTCAATGAAGGCAGATGCAATAGCATTGTTGTTTTCAGAGACATTAATTTAAACACAAAAGTAAACAAATCAAGACAGCGACAAGTGTTAATTTTATTTTTCATTAAGAAACGAAACAGGACTGGTTTTTAAATGTTGGTTATCTTGTTAAAATGGTAGCAGTTGTTTTAACAGAAAGAATTTTATAGTTATAAATGATTTTCGTATATAACATATGCATTTATAACAGGAACAAATAGAGTGGGCTGTAGAGGAAGGCGTTGATTATATCATAGGAGAAACTTTCAATGCACTTGGTGAAGCAATGCTGGCATTGGAATGCATTAAAGAATATGGAAACGGTTTGTGATTAATCAACGATATTTTAAGTCTAATTGTCGATGCTTTGGTTGTTATTATTATAACAACCTTATTTCTGCAACTCGCGAAATACATAAAATATTTGGTACAGAATAAGAATATGTCAAAATATACAGTTCTTTCCATCTAAAGTTAAGCCCACTGGACGAACCCATAAAATGAATTATCTTGGGGTTTATTTAAGCCTATTCTATTAGTATGTTAATTGTTGCAGTCTTAGAGTTTCATGGACTTTTTTATGGTAAAGAATGTCGTTGTTTCTAATTGACTAGGGGTACCAGCAGTCATAACAATCGCTGCATATTTCCCTGATATAACCACAGACGATGTACCTATAACTGAGGCATGTAGACTTCTAGAAGAAAACGGAGCGGCTGTTGTTGGCCTTAATTGTGCGAGAGGTCCGGCAACAATGCTTCCCTTACTAAGAGAAATAAGAAAAACGTGTAAAGTAAGTAAACTGAAACTTCATTGGCTACCGAACTTCATTTTATTTATAGGGAGACCAGTTCATTTAATCCCCTTCAACCATGTGAGCGATTATAGCTTTTACTTGACGTCCGTTGTTTACATTTATCAAAAATGTTCTCTTCTGAAACCATTGGGCCTGAATAATAGGGTATCTGAAATAAAGTGTGTGATTTTTGCCCCCGACTACCAACCAATACTACAACCATGGCTAAAAATATGACTTAAATATAAGTAATTGTTTAAATTAGAATAAATAGAGAAAATCTGACGGGCTGGGGAGGGTGAATTGTGCAGAAAGTCAGGATCTTCATACTTTTATTTCCACATAAAAATATCAGACGACTCGTTATAGGCGTTATTGACCTTGAATTACGATTTTTTTTGACATTTTGAGGGTATTTGCTTATTAACTTGAAAACAATAATAAACAGACAGAAACTATGAACAGAAAACGATGTGCAATATAACTTCTACATAGAAATTGAATGACTTACGCCCACAATTGACTTATTGTAGAATATATTGCGTTTTGACATATACTATGTATTATGAACGTTAATTGTTTTTGATATCGTGAAAACAACAATTGATAGAGATACACAGCAAAATTGATAAAAAAAATTGATCTACAAATCCTTTCATAGGTTATAAATATTGTAATGATTGCTTTGGGTTGACCATATTATTTTGGGATGGGGATTTAAAAATTAGGTAAATAGTTTAGTTTAATCCTGATTTTTACGAAAATGAAAAAAAATTGATGTCAGATGAGAGACAGTCAGGATCTGTGCAGTCTTTAGTTTGAGTGTGACCGACTGTGACGGTAAACTATGATTTGTCATGTCCTTATACAAGTTGTTTATGCTTTATCAGTCTTCTTTAAGGTACAAAGTTTTTTGGTGTATCTTTAAGTAAAGAATGAGGGAAAGCGTTGAAAGGTCAATTGTTTTGATACATTTGCATGCCGATAGGGACCTTTAGTTTAAAATTAGAATTTACTATACGACATTGAAATAATTCATGAGCTTTATATGATCAAATGAAATATAAAAAGAATACCATATTCAATCTAAAATCAAATTTGCCTGAGGGAGTTGGAATCTTAGCACCTTAATAGATTCTAGTTGCAATTGTACATCAACGTACAGTTTAAGAAAGATACATGTTGTTGTAAATCAGTTCAGTACCTATGCACTGACTGCGGAGCTGATACTACCAATGCCTTTATCATAAAAATATCATATAAGTCCCTTCATATGTTCACAAAATATCTTGTCTGTAAGGTACCTTTGTAGCAGTATTTATATTTTTGTAATTTGTTTTGATTTTTTTGCTTGGAGGCTTCAAACATCGGTCATTTAGAGAAAAAAATAGCCCCACTCTGAGATCTCGTCCCTAGTATCTTTGCCTTGACTGTGTCGCACGCTTTGAAAATTACATTTTGCTACCATATGTCGTATACAAACTTATTAATGTTCATAAAATATCTTGTTTGATAAAACTGTCTAATATTCGTTTGTGTCAATACATATATGCAAAGTCACCATATAAGGTCAAATATGTCTATTTCTACATGATGACAGCACAGCAGCTGACATTCCTTCCCAAACACTATAATCCTATTTATTTATGGAATTATCGAAAATGGAAAATGAGATTTTATTGACTTTTGCCTTAAGTCCCATACGGACCATCAAAGGAGTTATTGGAAGGATTATTAATGTACAAAATTATTACAATCTCTCGACGCGAAGCATCGGATTTAATGTACCAATTCTTCCGTGGATGGCTAAATATTATTTACTGATGTACATTCTGCAGGGACAATCAGACGACGCCTCAGAAAAGGCAATACTGTCGTACCGCCGAAGTGCAGATGACCTCTATACGAAAGTCAATCTTGTGTACTGATCTATGTACTCGACCTCTGATTCACAACTCTTCAAATTTGTTATAGGGTCCAATTGCTGCCCTGCCGGTTCCGTTCCGTTGTACTGATGAATTCAGATCATTTCAGTCTCTGAAAGATCCCAAATCAGGTGAGATCATATAAACAAAGAAGCGTGGTCTCTTCTTTGTTGTATTTGTTAAACCAATAATTAAAATTTTATAAATATGCTGCTTACACAAAAACTGTTCCAAAAGAGTTATGTCTGAAATTGACAATACTAAAATTTTACTCATTCGCTTCCAGGTCTCGCTTCTTTTGCAGTTCATGCGATTCTGTCATGTTTTTTGTTTTTTACCTCAATTTGTATTCTTAATCGATTTATAATATTTGAACATCGGTAAACTTCTGTTGCGTAAATGTTTCAATTCACGTTTATTGCTACAAAAAACCACAGATTTTGCTTTAAAGAATATTTTATATTAACATGTATACACATAGTTGTTGAACAATACCTTGATAGCATTCCGCAATTTTTATGATTTTGAAAGTTTTTCCTTAAAGGGGCTTTAGCTGTCAAATTCATGTTCACCGATTTGACTCAATTCTCATATTTTACGTATAACATACTAAAACGTATATCCAAATTATAAAAAGTCTAAAATAAACAATTTACGACACGTGGACTCGATAATATGTATAAGCATTTCGTGTGTATTTTAGTCTAGACGCCATCTAATTAACCATTGAGGTGACCTCCATAAACTGCCGACGGTCATATAACCCGATATAAACATAAATATAGATATGAATAGATAGCGAACACGTGCAATTGAAATTTTCAAGGTCTGTTTGATTTCATGTTATAGGTTAAAACAATGTGTTGTTGAATGACGTCAGAGGAGTGTAATTATCAAGTTTATTTCACATGCGAAATTATCGGGTTTTATTTCACTGGGAAATCACGGTAATTCATCGCAACCAATGTAATAAACACTTTTATTATATGAGACAAACCAAAAAGACAATTTCTGAGTTGCTGAACATACATGACGATATATTACACTGATACCACTTAGAATTTCATTGGGACCGTTTTATATGAAGGTGAATATAAATAAAAATGTATTAAGACTAGGAACTTTGTTGACGTAGGAATCCCCAGCTATGTGGGCAAAACCGGAAATGCTATTCTAAACTCATGCACGATGACAAATTTTAAAACCAAGTACATGTCTAGACCCATTGATAACCTCAAATATTAACTTTGCAAACACAGAAAATATATAAACAAGACATATCAAAGAAAGAAAAAATCAAAAAAACAAATCACAAGAAAAAAAAAAAAAAAACAGAAAAATATAGTCTTCTACGAAACCCTAAATAACATCTTGAATTCAGTATCTATATATTTTTTTTCTTTTTTGTTATAGTATAGTGTAGCATGAAAGCGTTTGTGATCTGGTGTTATTTGTTTGCAGGTAAACATCTTTTCATGAATGATTTAGAGAGCGTCAGATGTAGTTCTGCGGACATACGTCACTTTGCTCACGAGGCCAAACAGATAGGTGTGCAATACATTGGATTATGCTGTGGAAACTTTGCCTCATACTTTCGTGAATTAGCAGAGGTTTATGGTAGAACGCCCCCTGCATCCCATTATTCACCAGATATGTCTATGAATTCCGTTTTTGGAGATGAAGAAACCGGAGTAACAAATGCTTTAGCTACTAAAATGAAGGAATTCATTCTAGGTATCAAACAATAAACGGAAACCAAACTGATTCATCGATTTTTAGAAATAAATAATTTATGTTTTGTGTTCATATACAACATTATCGACAATATTGATAAGAAGAAAGTGCTCCAATTTTCAGAAATTCTGTAACTTATTCATGGTTGTCAGTTATAGCTGACTAAGGGAAAACATTCTCAAATGCGTCAGTATACATCATTCTAAGTGGTGTTCTAGGTGAAAAAAATACCACATAGCGTCAAAATAAGCATAACGTCATCGCGTTGTAGGCCGTAAAACGTCTATTTCGTTTTTACGTTTTTCACTACCAACTAGGTATCAGATTGGATAATAGACCAAAAACGAAATCGTTCACTATATGATTATATTATATAATTAAAACAGAAATTTATGTATAAAAAAAAAAAATCTATGGATTTGAAATTGGAGATATGATGATTTAAAGATAAGAACGTTTTTTGCCGATTTTATACATGCTTTCTTTACACATTTTCACTTATTTGGCAAGAATTCAATCAGTTATATTTCAGAAAATAAAAGAGATAAATGCATTATGTTTCCTTTGTCAGTTATAATAGTCCAACGAGCCAAAGTTGTATGCAAAATGTTACCAAAATCTGTGACAAAGTCCATTACTGTTTCTTAACATGCGTGTGATTACTCAGCCTTCCCCTGACATGGATGTTATAACACACATAAGAATAAAATGTAAAACATCAGTTAGAAAAGGACTTATCAGATCGGTTGTTAGTTTAAAAACAAATCACAAAATACACAGTTTTAAAAATACTCATAGTTACTGAACGTTAATTCAAAGCGCAATATCTATTAATAAACAAACTTTCTAAACAATATATGATATTATGTTATAATCTTTATCGTCAATCACTTGAGCTGGTGCGTTAAACATTGCACGTGTACAATTACCAGACTGTTAGTTATCATGTCTTCCTGTATTGTTCATGACGTTTGATGTATCCTCAATAGAGTACAGCAAATGGTTCTAACTGTCAGACGGCACTATTTCATATCGGCATCATAATTACAATTTAACTTTCAGCTTGCTTTCAGTCACCTGTAAGCATTCTTTAATTGTGGAATTGTTGTGCCGATATGGTACAAATAAGTAAGGTGTGTGTGTAATAAACAGAAAACCTTTAATATCTGTAAATATCTGTAAATCTGATGAATATATCAGTCAGCAGACAGCAATAATATATATAACATGTGGTGATTACAGGAAAAACGGTAGTAGAAGGGAATCTCTCTATTACGTCACGCAACACAGGGAATACTACAGCATGCTGTAGAATGTGGACTGGTTCTTCCTATACAAACTAACGGCACCACATCCGCCCCATTCCTGTAGAACCAGACACATTTTCAAACTATAAAAGAAACTCAAAAACAAAATAAAATAAACGTTGTAAACACGTTGGTGTCAATTAGCTTGGTAACTTGAACGATCCTTGTGCAAGTCATAAAATAACGCAATAAATTGATGTATATATTTACACATATGAATGTCAACACCTTCTTGGTAGCAATTAAATATGTACAAAATCTAAGGATGTCCGGCGGAACCAACTAACAGGGCCTAGGGCCCCAGGTAGCTGACTCTGGTTTCGGCTTTGGTATACCATACAATTTTAGGGCGTTGTCATTGGTTATCCATTTTAAAATGTTTAGTGGGACATTACGCCTCACACTTACTGCTATCGCGACCTCTCTAAGATTCCATGGATGGTTTACTGCACAACAGGACCATGGCGATAGAAACGGAGCATCTGTTTCAAGTACCAGCTGTTGAGGCAAGATTCGTGATATCGCATCTGTGTTGTATGTAGCTCTTGCATCTTTCAAAAACTTGCCAGTGATCCCAAATACTACACTTGGAAGGCGTTGCCACTGTCTCAACTCCTCAACACCTCCGTCGAAACAATGGCGGTGGTACTTCAAGTTGGCGAAGCCCCCGCGGATTATAGTAAGCACAAAGGCTGCTGCCTCTCCACTTCCCCCATCGCGACAATGCAGTATGACTGGCATTTGTCGGCGCTGTGCAATTTCCAACATTTGTATAAGTGCCTGCTCTTGGCATTCCCTCATTCGCTTCTTGCACTGTTCTGGGGTATTGCATCTTCTACAGTCACAGCGGATGGTAAAATCAAGTCCAATCTCACCAACAGCAACACATTTGTAACTTCCCAGTAGGTACTCAAGATCTTCTAGTTGCTCTGTCGTGACTCCCTTTGCAGCAATATGCGGGTGAATCCCAAAGGATACGTAAACAGAGTGAGCGACTCCAACTTGTACAGCCCAGTCATTCCAGTGGTTGGGAAAAACATAGTTTGCGACCCCATAGTAAAAAGAGTTATAGTATATATTGTTCTCTGCTGGGGAGATTTCAGAACTCATATGTAGAAATGTTTTAAAATGAACCCGCTTCAACACCAAATCCAAATGAAAATGGCTATCCACGAATAAAAATGGCTCTGATGGTGATGGCACCGGGTCTAAAATGAGACTGCCCTCATATGTAAGGTAGCCTGCAGGTGTCATCAGGGACTGCTGTTGTGCTGGGCCCACTCGTCGTAGTAGACTCGCCATGATCTCCCAATTTGTAAGGCTAATGACGTGGTTTGGAGGGTTGGCGGTGATGTAAGATAGCCGATCAGGGCTATAGTTCTGGGCGTAGTACACCAGGAGTTGCTGTTCCTGATCATTTAATCCACTGTTTACATTTTCATACAACCTCCTGTCAATGACATATTGCAGGAGACTATCAAGATCGTAACAATCAAACCAGGACTTGACTCGATGGAGACAGGCGGTTACCATTTGACACCATAGGTGTAGATGCTCTTCGTCAAAGAGACATCCGAGTCTATGTTCCTCGGTGTGACGTAGAGCCAAGGACGACGCCTGTACTTCCTGCTGGCCACATTCCCAGCATGCAGTTGAACCAAACCAAAACCATGGCAGATGTGTCTTCATCATATGCCTACGCGTCTTTTCCCTGGACATCAGTCCACATACAGGACACTTACGCAACCGACTCTTAGATGGCACTATGGCTGTGCAGTCTTCTGATTGGCCTTTAATTGTCTCACCTGCTCCTGGTTCATCATGATAGGAGAAACTCATTGGTAACATACCTGTTGCCATATTGCTGTATCCTTTAGCAGGGCCTAGGGGCTCCAGGAGAAGCATCAGCAGTTGCACTGTCATCCGGAACAACTTCGTCGAGTACCATTAGGTCCTCCACGTCAAGATCGGTACAATCTGATTTAGTCCCATGCCACTCGCTGTGCGGACTTAGTGACAAGACATCCTGGTCTGAACGAGACCCCTCTTCCATCCTGGAATGAGAGGAAATCAAAACATAACATGATTAGAAGCACAATTAGCGAAAATGATGCACATATATTATTAAGTAAGAACATGCAAAAATAAATATATACATATATACATTTGAAATTATCCCACACAACACCTATTATGTTTGGTACCGTAGTGGGCATCTGCTTGGTCTACCATACCTAGATGTGTGCTCAGAAGACGGAAAGGCCGAGGGCCTCGTCTCGTCATCTGTGCTGCTGAGTTTGGCATTTACAATGTCCCCACTGTAACCTTTATCCGAACTTAAAATTTCCCCCAGGTCTAAATTTGGAGGTTCATCAATGTTTTAGCATCTAAAGCGATAACTGTATCACACTGGGGCCCCTGTTCCAGTTCTTGTGTCAATGGAGTATGGGTATAGGACGGGTCACCTAATGACTGGGATAAAACAACGCTTTCAAAAGTGGGCTGATTTGAGTCGAACATGCCCTGAACATTAAAGTCAACACCATAGGGTATTGTATCATCAAAATCATCCCAGCTCTCATCCATTTCACTTTCAGCTTGGAATAACGCATGCCTAAGTCTTTTGATCCAAGTCGGGATATCCCTATCGTTGCAAAGTTTCAACTTGTCATGGTGCACTACTGAGTCTCCTTTTCTTCCTCAGATAGTGTACAATGGGGGTCTACTAGACACGACAAGAAACGGTCCACACCATGGTGATTTCAGCTTCCTGCTCTGCCCGACTTTTGTAGTTGAGTCTGCCTTGTACACCAAATCGCCTGGTTGATATTTATGTTCAACATCTCTGAGGTCATAATCCCGCTTTTGTCTTAGTTGCGAGGTGTGAAGACTGTGCCTTGCAAATTCGTGAATCTTTTGCATCCTACCGACTAAATGTTGTACCCAAACGTTAGGGGTCATTCTGTTCTGACCGTATTGTGGTATGCCGAGGAGTAGATGAACAGGTTGGATAGTCTCTCTGCCCAACATCATTTGCTTCGGCGTAAATCCAGTTTGCCTATTCACCATTGAGTGCATTGCCATAGACAAGAAAGGCAAGTCTCTGTCCCAGTTACGACAAATTTTCTCAATAAAACATCTAATCATGGCCAATACAATGGTATTGTACCTCTCTACCTGGCCATTTGATGACGGATGATACGGGGTTGTTCTGGTTTTGACAATTTCCAAGGCATCACATAGTGTTTTAAATAAGTCACTGTCGAAGTTTCGTCCTTGGTCAGTGTGGAATTCCAAAGGACACCCAATGTCACCACGAAATGCACAATAAATTTCTCAGCAATCAACTTTGCAGTCTGTTCAGGTAACGCTGCCATCTCTACCCATTTTGTGAACTGATCCACCATCATCAAGACATAATTATTGCCGCTATTACTTGTATTAAAAGGTCCGAGAATATCAAGATGTACTCTCTCCATCGGATACCCAGCGTGGAACTGCCCAAGTGGTGCTCTAGGTTGCACATGCGCCTTTTTATTTAGACTACAGGTGGCGCAAGTACTAACATAATCGTCACAATCTTTGCGCATGTTATACCACAGGAAAGCCTGCTTCAACTTATCGAGCGTTTTTTTCTGACCCAAATGTCCTGATGTTTTAGTGTCATGACAATTTTTTAGCACCTCTCCTTTTAACTCTGATAGAACAACTAAGCAAAGGCCTTGGCGTGCTGGACAACCTATGAATTTGTAGTATAGAACATTGTTAAACATGACAAAGCAAGGTCTACACAACCAAAGCGACCTGGTTGCCCTACTTTGTAAACGTAGTTCAGCCTGTGTTGGCTCGACGTCTTGTCTTGATCCATCCATTTTAATATGGGAGCCAAATCAGGGTCTTCTTTAACTGTTCAGATGGGTATTCAGGTGCCCAGTTGCTACATGGGTCGCCATCAGCATATGGTAAAGTATCGTCTAAATTTGGTGATGAATCTGAGTGACAATCCTCTGCCAGAGCCGGGGGCTCTTGGTCAGTGGACATGTCCTTGTCATTTTCAGCGATTACTGAAACAGTGCGTATTGATGCTATCAATGACTTAAGAGCCAATGGAATCACATCGTTTACGTCATTTCCGAATCTGCTCCACTGTTCGTGAGCTCGTAGGCAATATTTGCAACCATGACATGGCAGTGTTGTGGGATCAAGTCCGGCCCGATAGCAATCACATTCAGGAACATCGTCTGGGATGCG